AGGTTGACTCCTCACAAGTCCCTCCCATGAGCAGGACCCTGTCCCCACCACTGACATGCAACACACATCCTGAGCCAGTGTCCTTCCCTGATTCTATCCAAGCATTTATGCCTTGCTGAGAGGCCTGCCCCACTCTCAGCACACATGATGGTGAAGGTCATGATGATTTTATATACTCGTGTGTGTGTGTGTGTGCGCGCGCGTGTGTGTGTGTGTGTGTGTGTGTGTGTGTGTGTGTGTGTGAGCTTCAGACTCCACTTTCACACCATGTATGGCTGTGGGTCCCTCTGCTTTCCCAGACTGTCACTATATTGATTTTGTGAGCATGGTTAAGGCAGTGACCCTATTATGGGTCTTTCTTCTACTGCTTTGCATTGTCGATGCCTCTGTAGCCTCATGTCCAGCATGAACATTCCTTATAGCAAGTTTGTACTGTGAGCTGGGTGGACCTGGGATGCATACTGAGTGCTGCTGGGATTCCTGCAAAGGTTCAGTTGATGAGAATCAGAATATTTGTAATCCATTGGTACTTAGGGATGAGAATAAACAATGTAACTGACTCTATATTTTGTGTATTTATATCTATTTTTTAAAATTTTGTGTAGTTGTTTTCCCATTAGAACATAGTTTCTAAGTCAGAGAATGAAGAAGTAAGCACAGAATCATGTGTCCAGAGAGGCTTCCTGTGGGGAAACTGCTCTATGGAGAGGAAGCCCCACACCCTGACAGGAAGCCTGCTCATAACCACCATCTTCAGCTGCTTCTGGCAATTAAAGACAGAATTGGTGAGTAGTGTGCACCCCCTGGTGGTCCAGATTCTGTCCCACAGTGAGGTTTGTCTCTGGGCTCACACTGAGGTCCCCTCACTGTGTCTCTAGCACAGTAATACACGGCTGTGTCCTCAGCTCTCAGGCTGTTCATCTGCAGATACAGCGTGTTCTTGCCGTTTTCTCTGGGGATGGTGAATCGGCCCTTCACAAAGTCTGTGTAGCTTGTGCTACTTCCATGATTGCTAATATCTGCGACCCACTGCAGCCCCTTCCCTGGAGTCTGGCGGACCCAGTTCATGAAGTAGCTACTGAAGGTGAATCTGGAGGCTGCACAGAGAGTCTCAGGGATCCCCCCAGGCTTCACCAGCTCTCCTCCAGGCTCCACCAGCTGCACCTCACACTGGACACCTGCAGACAGAAGACATCTTAGTCAGGAAACTATCACATACCCACTGTTTCCCTCACACACATCCA